AAGTTGAATAAATATGGGATCTATAGGCAAAGCATGGTCTAACCATTTGGCAAAAATGAGAATGCCCCTAAAATGACGGATCTCACAGTCTAGACACGAAATGTGAATTAAGTTGTGGGTCTGTCTTCCCTCCCTCTTGACCTGGAAACCACAGAGTTCCTCAAGAAGGGACTAAAATCTGCACTTTGGAAAAAAAGGAAGGCAATCAAGGACATTTTAGTGAAGGTTATAAATACCCTTAAAAATGCTTGAACTTCCTTAAAATTCGCATCTGCTCCATGACTTAAGGGCACTCGTGGCAGTGGCCTAGTGATTAAACACTGCCCTGTCATGGTTGAAGCTCCGCTGGAGGCTAGGATGGGGCCTAAACGAGGTCGAAAGTGCGAATGTGAATACCTTTCGGAAAAGCAAGGCTATATGAAACTCAATCGAAACGTAAGGTCTATTCATATCATTGTATGAAAAATCATCTACAAGTCCTACTTCACATTAAACGAAATAGAGTGAACACTTCTCATATACCTGATTTACAGATGGTCTCGAAACCCTACTTACAAGCGAAAAACTTGTATTTTGTCACTACAATAAACTGCATTACTTATATCCATATTAAGTAGTTTTCGTAAGCATCGATAAATCTTGAATACTTGCTCTTGTATAGAGACCAGACGAGGTCGAATCTGTGTTACACGCTGGATGAGAATGCCTTTTTGTGGCAAGGACAAGTGAAATTCAATGGCTCTGTATGGCCTTTCGATTTGGTAGTGGGAAAATTTAACTCTCAATCCTTCATCACATTTAACCAGAGAAAAGCGACTGGAACTCTTTACTCTTTATGGTTAACCCGGCTAATGAGTTGATGGCTTAAGCAATGACGTCCAAATGTTCACTGTAATTTCAGAGGAAATCTCATTTTCTAATGACATTCAGAAGGTGTTTTTAACCTATTACTACCTTTCCGTGACATTATTTTTTCGACCACTTTCAGACATGTTCCAATATAGTTATTTCCAGTAGCCGCAATATTAGGGCAAAGTAACCAAAGGAGGCTAAAAGTGTGCCTACCTGTACTTCAGACGCTAAATTATACGGTACTTAGAGTCATATAGGAATCTAGACACATTTTCCTCCCCTATTTTGCATGAGCACACCTAAAAGCTGGTAATCCGCCCTGGAGTCATACGGCCCATGTCAAACATTGCTTTCTGACAGTTTTTGTGTCCTTAACCATTTTTCACCATGGCTACCCTTCTATAAGGAGCCTGCTTTATAGAGTCCCCGTAAGGCACCTCTGAAGACTGGCCGTCTTTAACATGACCATGAGATGTATTCACCTCATTTAGTTTAAAGTGATAGAGGGACTGGTGGCTGAATTTTCCCACAAGCATATGAGTAGTATCTGCGTTTCCGTTGAATTTCATATGGCTTTGCGTTTCTAAAAGGTATTCTCACTCTTGGGAATGCAAGGATATGTCTATACGAAATAGGGTGAATACAACTCACACAAAATCTACTGGAAGTCTCGAAAACTTGCTTAGTAAACGAAAAATGTTTAATTTAGCCGTTTTACTGAGTGGTTTCACTTATGCATCTTTACAAAACAGCTCAGGAATTGCGCCTGATGCCAGAAGCTGTCAACGGAAGACCGGCGATATTTCAAGAGTTTAGCTCAACTTCCAATATCAGCCAGTTTTATCTGTCAATCTGGATGAGTCTTGGAGACCATCATCAAACAGCCTCTTCCGTTATTAACTTAAGCAGAGCATTTTTTGGGCCTTCTGGAGTGGCGTTTTCGCGTAAAATGTGTCTACTTTTTTCGTTTTTATTCTCTTGCAAATAGGCCGCCAACTCGGGGTGTGGCTAGCTCAGAGGTGATGGATATGCAAGTAAATAAACCTCTCCTGCTGCCTCACCCTCCCTAAAACTTGACTCGCTCAGCCCTTTATTCTTCTCATATCATATTTCTGCCGCGGGTACAGGTCGAGTCGGCCAAGTTGCGCACCTCGGGACACTAGCTTTGGCTCTTGGATCCCCTTTCCTCCGTAGCTACTGGACGTCTCGGACGGCCAGTCAAAAAACACCAATAGGACACACACACACACATACACATACACACACATACACATGTACATATTAATGAATATGGAAAGCTCTGGTCTTTTGGCCGGAGCGTATGTAAGGGGAGAGATGGCAGAAGAGAGGGATAACTCATCTTATGAGGCCTGTTCGCATTGTGCAGTCTGACAATTCTCATTATGTGGCTGTCATATTTCTCTCAGTCCATTCTACCCTTTCCAGCTCCACCGGACTTTATATCACACTTCTCTTTGCCCATCTCCGCCCATGAGCCCAGCTATCACCTTCCCCAAGGCCGTCAGCTTCTTCTTCTCTCCTCTCCTCTCCTGTCTGCTCCGCTCCGCTCCGCTCCGACCAACGAAACAGCTCGGCACCTCTGGTGCTTGTCTCTCACAGTACGTATCTGCTTCCGTCGGACGAATCCACTCCATTTCACATCTTCAGCCCATTAGGCATCAACTGCCACCCTCTCGTCTCTCGCCCGCATTCAGGCATACAATTTCAGTCCCATAACAGCGTCATTCTCGCGGCCGTGCTACAGATTACTGCGACCACTGAAAACAGAGCTCTTCTGATCCACGAAATTAAACCTGTCAGCATCGCTAATTGCTATGACTCGAAAAACAGTTCACAGCCCACTTCCATGTTAAACAGACTAGGGGGTGGCCAGTGCAGCAGCACGGGCTGGGAAATAGGCGTACAGATCTCACCTGAGTCAAGAAAATATGTCCGTAAGCATATTAAAATGTCGCATGCCTTTGGGCATAAACCAGCCAATCGGAGAGAAGACACAACAGCTAGTAGGAGACAAACAATAGACATGTACAAGCACATTCGTTGGGAGAAAAGGAAAGCCAATGTTTACGTCGGCTTAATTGGCTGGTGTAAGCAAGATGGTTGGAAAACTGAACGAATTTTCACTAAATATGTGAACTTAGTCAGCCCAAGTCGCTTAAAATAATGCTAAAGGTATATAAGGCGATATAGACATCGGGCGATAGTGGAGTTTTTCCCACGCTGAAGTTAGGTCTCACGATGTCACTGAAATTCACTCGGTCTTGCCCCCCAAAGATGTCTTCCCATTCCGACTTGGCTGAACTGTAGTTTCCACATTTTCCCCATCAACTATTACAAGGGATGTAGAAATTTAATTGTGAGCATCGTGACAACATGTTACCACTTTGCTAAAATGTAAGGGAGTTGCAAGTCAGGAGTGACTTCATGGGAAAATCAGCCTTCTGTCAAACCACCGAGATTAGAGAATCCCGATTTTATTTTTCATTTTAACTTGTGGTTTTCGAGATTTTCGGTAGGTCTGATAAATGAGTGGTATTCAGCCTATTTCGTTTAAGGTCGTCAGTGGAGAAATTTACGATCAGTCCTTCACCACTTTATGCGAAGTAGAGTGAATTCAGCTCTTATATGAAGTCTAGCCCTCCAAAAAACTTGATATGGGATAATGCATGGCCTTCCTTGAAATTCACATCTGCCCTGTGACCCAAGGGCACTCGTGAAAATATGGCCGA